ATTATTAATTTTTAATATATTTTCCTTTAAGGGGAAATTTGTAGTGGGTGTCCAAACCTTTCAAAATAGTGCATATAGGTACCAAATCTTTATACGTCACAAACATTTCAAAAATAAGTAGTAGAAGGATCTCTCGGGAGTTTCCTTACAAAATTTCGTTAGTTGATCAAAATTCAAGCATNACAACGGGGGACAAAGCCCCGACCTCATTTTGCAGGTAAGATTCGTTGATTTGAGCAACCGGAACACCCCACACGTCATCATCATCGTGGAGGTAAATTTTGTGATTATTTCAACGGACATAAATTCTACAGGTAATTAAATAACTACTGTAGTTTTTTAAAAACCTACTCAAATTTCAATTATTAATTTTTAATAGATTTTCCTTCAAGGGGAAATTTTTAGTGGGTGTCCAAACCTTTCAAAACAGTGCATATAGGTACCAAATCTTTATACGTCACAAACATTTCAAAAATAAGTAGTAGAAGGATCTCTCGGGAGTTTCCTTACAAAATTTCGTTAGTTGATCAAAATTCAAGCATTTGATATTGTAGAGATACTGATCTCAGGTTTGATCACTTGATAAAAAATTCCTTGAATTGACAATCGTCTCAACTAAATAAAAATCGAAATGCAACTTTGCAAGTATATGATCCGAAATTATTTCACCCAAACTCTCAAAGTACCGACATTGATCTTTCAAACAAGATATCACCTATTGACAACTCAATGAATCTGAGCTAGCAATTAAGACCGGTTTAGAATTTAGATGATTTGTTCGACGATCGAGTAAAGACTTGTTTCTAAGTCATCTACCTGGTCCCATTCAATGGTTGCAAATAAATCATTATTTTTATTTCTTGGATATAGACAAATAGATGTTGCATTAAGTCAAATTTTTATAAATGTAAGAAAGGCACAATTTCAAAAGTTATACCTATCAGACCTATAATAAAGAACCTAAAATATTTGATAGTATCATGACTATTTCTCATTAACAAAAAAAAAAGGGGGTTTGTGCCTAACTTTCTCATAATGGTAATTGGGCCTTGCTTGTTTGTGGTCTTCTTTTCCTGTTTGAAATAATTAGGCCCAATCCTATCAAATAACTTTTTGTTTTGAATCTTTGATTACTCTTAATGAATTCAATTGTGACTTTTAAAAACTTTTGTAATTTAAAAAGTTTAGTATTTAATATAGACTTTTTGAGACTTTCTAAAGTCACGATATATTCAATTAAAACTGTTTAGAAGTCTTTATAAGTTTTCGGGTATTCTGATTGTTAATAACTTTTAAAGACTTTTTTGAAGGTCTTTATGGAAGACTTTCACAAAAAAAATAAAAATAAATAAATAATAATAATATATTTTATTCAATATTTTTCTTTCTTTTTCCCTTTTATGAACATTGAAGTCGTGTATAAAATATCTTTTTTTTTCCATTGGTTATATTTATTTCTATTTTTCTTTTTTTTTCTCTGTTTTCTATGAAAAAATTAAATTGTAACTAAAGATTCTTATAACTTTTTTTCTTTTATCATCATTTTTTATGAAAAATATCCATTTTTAATTAAAAATTTTTCATAAAAAAAAGACTAATTTATAATAATTTAAATAAACCACGTGAAATTGTACTCAAAATGAAAGTCTTCAAAAGTTTTTTTATTTCTACAAAAGTATATAAAAAATTTAAAACGAAAGTCTATAGAAATCTATGAAAAACTTGCACTAATTTCATACAAATCCATAAAAATTCATGAAAACCACAGAAGTTATCATTTAAAAAAGTCCATAAAAATCTTCAAAAGTATCAGTTGAATACAGCCCTTTAGGGTGAGTTATATTTCAATTGGTTATA